AATAGATATATGGGGAACATAGTTTAAGTTACTAAAATGTGAAAAGGCTTTTGGATTAAGAAATATGGCTACCATAAGGATTGGAAATGAAAGAAATGTTTCTAGAAAATGTCTAATAACCATTACTTTTACTCAGAGTCAGTAACTTAAATTTTATTTTCTGTTACCCAACAGACAATTATAAGGGAGTTTTTTTCCTTTTCTTTTTTGCCCGTGTCATTCATACAAATCGTGTTTATAAAGTCATTACTGTAGCTTTGGTAGTCTTTACTCAAATGTTCAAAGTATATCCAAAATAATATACTTCTAGGTATAAAATAAATAAAGTATATCCAAAATAAATGTTCTAGGTAGACACTGCTGATACTAAGTGAACCACTATTGCTAGTTTTATAACATAGTGTGCATGCTTATTCTTTAAATGTAGTTTATTTCTGAGAAAAGAAACAAATTTAAAAAATAAAAGACACTAAAATTGAAAATATTAAGTTTAAAGTATAGTAAATATGTTATGTTGTATTTATAAACTTATATTATTTATGGGCTTAATTGAAAGTTCTAATTGGAAATGCCAAGAAATTTGGAAGACCTGGCCAACCAACTGGAAGAGATACATTTGTGCCCATTCCAAAGAAAGATTATCCAAGAGAATATAGAAATTATCAAACAAATATCAGTAATATCACGTGCAAGTAAAATCTTTAAGAAGGTAATTTAAAAATGGCTACAGCAATATATCAACAGTGACCTGAAAGAAATTCAAGCTAGATTCAGAAGAGGACATTGAACAAGAGATATCACTGGTGATGTCAGATGGATCTTGGCTGGATGCTGAGAATACCGGAAAGATGTTTACCTGTGTTTTATTGACTATGCAAAGACATTTTACTGTATGAATCAAAATAAATTATGGATAACATTACAATTAATGAGATTCCAGAATACTTAATTGTGCTCATGAGAAACATCTATGTAGACCAAGAGGCAGTCATTCAAACATGTCCAGAGGATGCTGAGTGGTTTAAAATCAGGAATGGCCTGTGTCAGAGATGTATCCTTTCACCATACTTACTCAATCTGTATACTGAGCAAATAATCTGAGAAGCTAGGCTACGTAAAGAGCATGGCATCTAGATTGGAGGCAGATTCATTAACAACCTTTGGTATACAGATGACATAGCCCTGCTCCTGAAAGCAAAGGAGACTTGAAACACTTAATGATGAAGGTCAGAGACTACAGCCTTCAGTATTGGTTACACCTCAAGGTAAAACAAACCCTAACTACTGGACCAGTAAGCAACATCATGATGAACAGACAAAAGATTGAAGTTGTTAAGGATTACATTTTACATTGATCCACAATCAGCACCCATAGAAGCAGCAGTCAAGAATGTTTTGCATTTGGGTAAATCTACTGCAAAAGACCTCTTTAAAATGTTAAAAAGCAAAAAATGTCACTTGAAGGACAAAGGTGTGCCTGACCCAAGCCATGGTATTCTCATATGTGTGAGAAACGTGGAGAGTTAATAAGGAAAATGTAAGAGTTGATGCCTTTGAATCATGGTGTTGGCAAAGAATAGTGAATGTACCATGAACTGTCAGAAGAATGAACAAATCTGCCTTGGGAGAAGTACAGACATAATGCTCCTTGGAAGTGAGATGGCAAGACTTCATCTCACATTCTTTGGACATGTTATCAAAAAGGACCAGCCCATGGAGAAGAGCTTCATGCTTAGTAAAGTAGAGTGTCAGTGAAAAAGAAAACCCTCAATGAGATTGATTGATACAGTGGTTGCAACAATGGGCTCAAATATAGTAAAAATTATAAGGATGGCATAGGACTAGACATTGTTTCATTCTATTGTACATAGGGTCACTATGAGTCAGAGCTGGCTTAATGGCACCTGACAACAACAAAAATCTTGTCTAAGGGATTCAATCTGTGGGAAAGTTATATCGTAGGATCAGTCTGGACTTAGTATACATACTCCTACCACCAGTGAATAATATAGTCCACTAGAGTGGTGCTGTGGGTAAATGTGCTAGACTGCAAAGTCAGTTTGAACTGCAAGGTTGGTGTTTCAAGCTCACCAGTGACTCCTTGGAAACCCTCTAGAGGGTTGCTATGGGTTGGAACTGACTCGACGGCACTTAACAACAACAACAGAGTCTTTATAAAACTATCATTGCTGTTGCTGTTAGGTGCCTTTGAATGGTTCCAACTCATAGCAATAAACAAACAAACTTTAAGCAAGTAAAAGTTTGCTAAAGGTAATACAGAAACGGCTACAATCATACATTGACAGAGAACTTCCAGAGGTTCAAGCTGGATTCAGAAGAGCCCGTGGAACGAGACATATCATTGCTGATGTCTGATGGATCTTGGCTGAAAGCAAAGAATACCAGAAGGATGTTTACCTATGCTTTATTGACTACACAAAGGCTTTCGATTGTGTGGCTCATGACAA